AAAAAAAAAAAAAAAAAAAGTAGAACGTCTCAAAAGTGCTGCTAGATTTCCTGTGTTTCTCCTTAAACGTATCCTGGGTTTGCAGAGGCAAGCAGCCATGTTTGCAGCTTTCAGGCTCCAGGTGGAAGTGCAGAGGCCTATAGGTGGAACCTGTCTCTTATACACATCTAGATGTGTATAAGAGACAGGGTGAGAGGGGCCGGGGCGCTGCGACCTCCGCGCCGGGGACACCTGCGGCCCAGGCCGGCCCACGAGGCCCTGGCGTCCCTGGGTTCTCGTTCTAGGAGCCCGTTTAAAGGAACAAAAGCCGTTTCTCCCTTCTGCGCTCTCAGAGGCGACCTGGCAGGGAAGGAAAACTTTAGGGCTCCCCTTTCTTGTGGCCTGAACCCAATTAATAAAGCAACCCCCCCCGCCCCGTGTGAGCAGTGGCCGGACTGGAGGGCCTGGAGAAGAGAAAGAGAGGCCCGAGACCGGAGAGGGAGGGGTGGGAGGAGACCAGGCGGGTGGGGTTCACCCCAGGCTCCTCCCCGGCCCGCCCCGCATGATCACAGGACTGCGCCTTGGGGTTCAGACCCTTGTCCCGTGTTCCAGAGCCAGCCCTTCCCGACTCCAAAGTCCCCTTACCTGTGGCCGGGCCGCCCACTTGGGAAGCCCAATGAAGAGTTAGTAGTTTAATATGTTACCCCTCCCAGGAACATGGGCCTTCAAAAACAGGTGGGCCGGCGCGGTGGCTCACGCCTGTAATCCCAACACTTTGGGAGGCCGAGGCGGGCGGATCACCTGAGGCCAGGAGTTCGAGACCAGCCTGGCCAACATGGTGAAACCCCGTCTTGACCAAAAATACAAAAACTTAGCCGGGCCTAGTGGCGGCTGCCTGTAGTCCCAGCTACTTGGGAGGCTGAGGCGGGAGAATCGCGTGAACCCGGGAGGCGGATGTTGCAGTGAGCCAAGATCCTACCACTGCACTACAGCATGGGCGACAAAGCGAGACTCCGTCTCAAAAAAAAAAAAAAAGACAGGCGGGAGACGCTACATTTTTAACCAAAGAATTAAGTCTACGTAAAATTCCCCCACTGAAGGGTACAGGTTTGTTTTCCCTTTTGCCAGTGAGGTCTCTCTAGGCAACGTCATTCAAATCCCACGGCTGCTTGAGACCCCACCCTCCTAATAAAAAAATTTTGCACAGAATTCTGCCTCGCACAGAATTCCCATAAGCCCCTTGTAAGGAGAAAGGTTCAGGGTGTACTGGAAGACTCTGTGAGCTAGGGGAAGGTGGGGGTGGAAGGGAAGACAAGAGGGGACCTGGGCCCCACACCCCCTCCTAGGGACCTGGTGTTTTTTTCCATCCATTGAATACGCAGATAATGTGCCCCCCACGGTGAACCGTGAGCAGACGCGATATCGCCACTGCCGGCTCCAACAGGAGACAGGTTGGGGTGACGACTGCTTCTGGTTTTCTGGTTTTTGACACCTGGCCTCTTTTCTGGGGATGAGTCAGGCTCCCCTCTCCCGGGGACTTGGAGGCTGAGCCCAGTCTCTCTCCCTGCTATGTCCACACAGCGAGAGAGCTCCTATCCTGAGTTTATGTTACATTATCTAAAACCAACTAGCATGACAAAGGGTGCGCCCAGATACAGTCAAAGCTGCGCCCAGGGAAACGGCTGTTGTTTCCCTGACTAAAGCCCATTGCACTGCAACTGCAGGACCTGGGAGAATTCAGAGCTGCATTTTTAGGTTTCTTTAAAAACCAGTGTGCGAGGCGGACGTGGTGGCTCACGGCTGTAATTCCAGCACTTTGGGAGGCCGAGGCGGGTCGATCATTGAAGGTAAGGAGTTCGAGACCAGCCTGGCCAACTTTGCGAAACCCCATCTGTACTAAACATACAAAAAAATTAGCCGAGAGTGGTGGAACATGCCTGTAATCCCAGCTACTGGGGAGGCGGAGGTGGGAGGACTGCTTGAACTCGGGAGGTGGAGGTTGTAGTGAGCTGAGATTGCTATACTGCACTCCAGCCTGGGTGACAGAGTGAGACTCCATCTCAAAAAAAAAAAAGCCAGACTGGGGAGAAAGAGGAAAGGTGTCCCAAGCAGAATAGCTTCTGTAGTAACCCACAGGCATGGGAAAGCGGTCATCTTTTGAGGGGAAGAGGATAGTTCACTATAGCTGGGTCTGTGAGCCCAAGGTTGTTAGTGTAGAGAGATGAACAGGGGCCTCCTGTGCATGCTAAAAGTTTTTAAAATTTCAAACCTAAGAGAGACATGATGTTCTAGAAAGACTGTGGGAGCCCAGCAAGTAGAATGCAGCCCCCTGTTGAATCTCAGACAAAGCCTAGGATGTGCTGCATAAAGCGAGGAGAGAAGGGACAGAAAATGCTAGGGTTGGCAGGGGAAGAAATAATGTCATGGGCATCGGAGTCATGTGAATGCAAACTGGTTTTGAAGAGTCCTGGTGCATGCTGAACTGAGAACTGGCACTCACAGGAAGGCAGCTCACAGCTACCTGATTAGACAGCTCCCAGGGGCAGACAAACCATCAAAGATAGTGCTAAGGGGTACGGATCACAGCATCTGTCACGTGGTTAGTTAGCAGAGTTGGGCCAAGTATTCGGATGTCCTGTGGGGCCACTAAACCAGAGAATTCTCTGGAGTTTAAAATACTGGGACAAATTCTATTTCTGTTCTGCATAGTCTTTAATGTTTGGGCCCAGCACAAGGAGTCAAGGGTTCTAATCCTGAACACTATTGAATGAGAGACTTTCTAATGGCCGCGTATGCTTTTTGGTTATAGTGAACCCCCTTCCGGGAGATATCTGCCCTCGACCCCCAGGCCTGGACGAGAGGAGGTGGAATATTACCAGTCAGAGGCAGAAGGACTCCTGGAATGCCATAAATGCAAATACTTGTGCACTGGGAGAGGTGAGCTGTTTTGCAGGCTGTTCAATCATTTACTGTCACTGGTGGTTCTGGAAGGGATGGTCTGAGCTGGTGAAGCAAAAATTTAAGCACATTCCCTTGTGGGTTCCTAGCATCTTCATTTCTGTACTTGTGAGGTTCTTGTTTTCTTTAAAAAAAAAAAAAAAAAAAGTAGAACGTCTCAAAAGTGCTGCTAGATTTCCTGTGTTTCTCCTTAAACGTATCCTGGGTTTGCAGAGGCAAGCAGCCATGTTTGCAGCTTTCAGGCTCCAGGTGGAAGTGCAGAGGCCTATAGGTGGAACTGGCTATGAGCTGCCAGCTGTCAGAGGAGGTATCTTCTGGCGAGGCGGCTGAATTAACAGAGAGGGAAAATCACCTGGCGTGGGCAGCCAAGTTGCAGCACTTGTTCTCCTTGAAGATCTGACTCCCAACACTTGATCAGTGGCTTTTTAACTTTATTGACTGAGGCCAGGCACGGTGGCTTATGCCTGTAATCTCAGCACTTTGGAAGGCCCAGGAAGGAAGATCTCTTGAGCCCACAAGTTTGAGACCAACCTGGGCAACATAACAATACCCCATCTCTAGTTTAAGAAAAAAAAAAGGAAAAAAGGCTGGCGTAGTGGCTCACGCCTGTAATCCCAACACTCTGGGAGGTCAAGGTGGGTGGATCACTTGAGGTCAGGGCTTCGAGACCAGCCGGGCTAACGTGGTGAGGAGGAGAATTGCTTGAACCTGGGAGGAGGAGGTTGCAGTGAGCAGAAATCATGTCACTGCACTCCAGCCTGGGTGACAGAGTGAGACTCCATCTCAAAAAAATTAATTTAAAAATTAATATATATATATGTGTATATATATATACACACACATAATATATTTACAAGGTTGTTAAATATATATTTTTTTACATTAAGACTGAGTTCACACACACACAGAAACAAAAATGTTGTGAAACCATACTGACCCTATTATCTACCAAGTACTCTGATATTTTCTATCCCATTCATTAAAAACAAAATTGTTTTTTAAAAACCATACTTATTTAGGACCCACAGTCTGAAAAACACTTCCATCCTATCATGTACCCACCCCAAACGTGGCGTCCCCAGGTTCTCCATTCTAGCGGTCTTGGCCTTGCCAGCAATGAAGAAAATCTGGTTTGTCTGGGTGAGAGCTTACAGTTCACGTGATTTGGTGAGAAATGTTTCTAGGTTTACTATGATTAAGGGAGAAAATGTTCCAGCCCAAGGGACAGAACTCATGGAGCTCATACCTGACAATGTAATCTCAGGGTGATTCCAAAGATGCATATGATTATAGGATTATAGGAACTTTGAGGAAAGGGCGATGCACGTACAAGGATCATTACTCCAGTTGCAGATACTGGCACAACCTCATGGCCTGTAATTCTGTCAACAGCTCCTAAACTTCAGAGAAGTACAGTAAGATATCCAGAGGACTGTGTTCTTATTAAGAGCAAACAACAAAAATTATGAATATACGAATATAGTTCAGGAAAAAATACATTCACAGTGATTTTTTTAATTGGTTGTTATTATAGGCAATCGTTACATTGCATGTTTTCTTAAGTCCACATTTTCTTTTTTTGTTGTTATAAGTCCACATTTTCTTTTTTTGTTGTTATAAGTAAGTATAACTATCTTTTTTTTTTTTTTTTTTTTTTTTTTTTTTTTTTTTTGAGACAGTGTATAGCTCTGTAGCCCAGGTTGGAGTACAGTGGCATGAACTCGGCTCACTGCAACCTCTGCCTTCC